AATTATTTCATATGCAATATTAAGATTTGGAGAAGGAATGTGTTTTCTAGGATAATTTTTTAAGATGGGTACCTAAGACTTGAGTCCAAGTAGTTCTTTATCCCCTTATATAGCTCTTTCATTATCTTCTACAAACCAGGAGTGTCCTCACTGCCATCATAGAGGTAGAAAAGAATAAGACTTACAGCTCTTGAATGATTAGCTCAATATACCCAATGTACATTTGCTATAAATAATGTAGATATAAAGAAAAAACCTGAACTGCAGATGTTTTTGAGTCCTTATGTCCATTTCCTGATCAGTGTTTGTGTCTTCTCTAAATGCTATCTGGGTTGAATGCTGGCTTGATTAACTCAAATCTCAGGAGGCTGAGCTAGCTAACATCCATTGTTAGTATTTTATTTGTTTGCTTTCATTTAATATGCATGTTTGGCACTCAGTTAAAAATAGCAGCTAGAATATTGTGGGGGAAACAGAACAAAAGAAAATGGTTTAAGAGAATCAAACAAAATGGAGCATAATTTTGCTGTGAAGGCTTTTTCATGACTTTCCATCACTCTCCCTCATTGTTATCTTCCTTGTTCTTTACAAAAAGATGGGTAAGTTTCAATCCAAAAAGCTCAAGATGTCTAGCAGGCAGTTGGAGCGAGGACTGGAATTGGAGGGACATCTTGCAGGAAATTACATCCCCAGTACGTACAAGCATTACAGTACTTGTAATGTACTTACAAGCACTCAGGTGAATAAAAACATTATTTTTGTCATACTTCTGATATATTAGTAGAATTGCAGATAGTGTCAAAGTGTCTGGGGAGAGATTGACTTAGTATTTATAGTTATAGTGTATTAGCTCCTGCCTGCACTCTTCTTTCCAAGTTTTCTTTTTTGCCTGCTTCTCCAGTACTCTTTTCCAGGGCTTAACTTACTTCTGGTTACGAATAGGGTAGACTAGACAGGAAAGGTGGCTGGAAATCCTTTTTGCTGAGAATTCAGGGATCTGGCTTAAAACGAAGTGTCTGTGTAATAGGTTATGGAATTAATAGACAACGAGCAGGAACAAGTTGCCAAACCAGATGAAGCCTCCAGGGACAGTGCTGCTAACAATGGTCTTGGCAGCAGACGTATCGCTACTTTTTAAAGAGAGTTCTAGGGGATATCTGTGGACTGCAGACCTCGAAATTTGAATTAGTAGAAAACATAGCAAGGTAAAAGTATTGGATACCTGCATAAATACTGTATGGTGGGGGAAAAGCCAGTGTGGCTTTTGTAATGGAAAGTCATGCCTTAAATGTCTAAATAAGCGTGTTTGAGAGATCTGGTTTAAAGTCTGTACTCAGATTGCAGGAAGCTTTTAAACAGGAGCCCTCATCTGAGCAGCCCTTGACATAATAAGGGAGTTCCCTGTCATAAACCAACAGTTGGTCCAAAGATAGGAAAGAGGATGTGAGCTGGCTTTGCATTATTTAAAGTGGAAGAGTGCTGAGGGTGATGAATTGCAAATGTAAACTGATTCATGTGGGTAGGGAGCAGTGCTGATTTCACACACAAAACGAGTGAGTTTTTTGAGCCATGACTAACTCTGTGAAGCTTTCTTCATCGGTAAATTCTCAGTTTGATAGTTTTACACAGACTCAGGGAAGATTGCATAAGCTCACAAAGTGCACAGGGACTGTGCCTGGTTCAGAAGGTCTCGTTGAGAGACCTGGAGGATGTTTGGAGAAGCACTGCATGCATATTCTGTTGTTCCCTCAGCTGCTGGTTCTGGCCTGTGCTGTAGAGCAGGGTAGAGAGGCATCCTTTGGTCTGACCCAGCACTGACCATTCATACGTTCCCACATAAAATCTGTACAACTGGGAATTCGTATGAGGAATTGTCTCTCCAGAACTGGCAGTGTGTTCTTAATATATGTTTCTTCATCATGCTACTAAGAGATATATGTGTGTGAGGAAAACTTCGCAGCTGCAGGTGTCTGGACCTGTGAGCCGAGTACATGCAAATTACTGGTGGTATTTTTCTTACCTCCTTTTAGTGAAAGCTCATTAAATACGTAAGGAAACACCTACAAACACAGTCTTACTAGAAGGGTTAAAGAAGCCTGTGTAGACTCAGTTGTGCCTTGGCTACAGGATGTATCTGCTGCTGAGTTGCGTTTTACACAGGTTTTCAGTGTCTGTCTGATTCTGGACAGCAGCGTCTCTGAACACTTGGCTTGAGACTAGCCCAGTAGCCCTGAACACTTTAGACACTTGTGCAGACTTACCCAGCTCTTAATCTTCCTTTTCTGACTTCCATACTTTTTTTTTTGTGCATGTGTACACACATGTGCTTAACAACTTGTAGCTAGTTTGTTTACAACAGGATTAGTAAAAAGCGATTAAACCCACAGCTGGTTCCTATTTGAGGCACAGCAGTAGAATTTGTTTACTATACGAGCAAGAAAATCTAGATAGAAATGAAGCTGCAGAATTTGGCTGTGGACTTCCCTGTGAAGAGATCATGTCTCTTGCTTCCCATTTACATAGGGCTTGGGTACCTGATATTTACCGTCTTCCACAGTGTGCTTTTTCATAGGTGAGAAGGGGGTTGTATACACAAGCAAAGTCCTTTATAGAAAGTGCGGATAGGCTTTGAGGCATAGAGTTTTATGTTTCACATCTTGATAAGAACAAGCAGGGAGACAAAGAGTAGACTGTTCTTTTTCTACTGCAGTCCCCTCATTCCGTATTTTTGCTGTATGTGACCCATTTCTCATGGCTATAAGGCAGTTTCCTACTGCTCATTCTAATGAGTGTTGGAGATGCTGATATCTGTCTAGGATCAGCCCATAGCAATGAAATCACAGGTACCCTAAGGCTGCCAGTATAACATGTACATGAGAGCACCTGCAGCTTTTAAGAATTACTTAATTGGAAATTCAGTTGGTGCCAGGCAGCTCAGATCCTGTTTCTGATGTCACATTCCATAAGAGCACAAATTACCAAGTGAATTAATGCTCTACTCAAATTGGCCATGTTTTCAGCATGTCTTTATGTGCAGCTGATGAACTGGAAGTTCTAGTTAATACTGTCAGAGAAGTCTGGAGGTACTGTCTTCAGTGTGAAAGATTCCCTTGAATGGGTCTTTTAGAGGGTCAGTCTGATTCAGAGAAGTATTCCTCCTCCATCCTGCCTTCCTGCAACCTTTTTTCCTATTTGCACCCTTTCTCTCCTAGGCAGGACTCTGATTTGTGAAGGCCACCAGGCAGTTTTATCTGAGGCAGGCTGGAGACTTAGGACAAAATCTTTTAAGAATTCCCACCAGGTAAAGGCACAGTTCAGAGCAGAATACCTGGCATGGGGCTGGCCATTCTATGGCAAGTCTCTGACATCAGGGAATTATTGCAATAAAGAACTAGATGTTTAGGAAAAAAAATCCCACCTCTCTGCCAGTCATGCCCGTGTGATTGGGGTGGGGTGTTTTTTTTTGCTGCCTATTTTTATATGTTTATGTCTGGATTCTTCTGAGGTGAAATGTAGCACTATTGAGGAATTGGCATTGGTGATCCTGAGTGTAGCGATGCTGAATTTGTTTCAGTGTAGTTCAGGGAAACTATTGCTGGTGGAGCTTTCTTTGTGAGAAACATCAGAACAAGATAAAGATTGGCTTTGATGGTGAAAGTTTTTTGTAATCATTTTTAAAAGCTGATGATCTGGTGAAAAATGAGTGGTAACAGCCACTTAATTACATACATGCTTCCCTTGCAGGTTCAGCTGTATGTAGGATTCTTTCTCCATTTCTAATTATGTATGATGTTCAACTTTTGCTTTTTTCCCCTTATATCTACGTGTGGTTGAATTTCAGGCGTGATGAGGCATCTTCTAAAACCTGGTGTCTTTGTATTCTCTTGTAAGAGTCCTTTCTTGAGGCTGACACTTTCCAAATTTAGTGCCAATGGGGGAATTCTAAAAGTTTGATTTCAGCTTTTTTGTGTATTTGGTATAGGAAAAGTGCATTCCCCTCTGTTTTCATAACCTTTTGTATAAGAAAAGTAAAGAGTATCTCCAGCAATACCCCAGCTGGGAGATGGTCTTTTGCTAGACTAATAGGAAACTGCAAATTGTTCTTGAGTTTGAGCTAATGAGGCACTGTTGGTATCGTTATCTCCAGACCCAAAATCTCTTAGTCTATTTCAGAGTACTTTATACAGTGAATAAATGTTTGTTCCTGTTCGACAGGTATAAAGACTGCGGCACAGAAAAAGAAACATTAACTTTTTGAAGCTGGCATAGTAAGTTGGTGACAAACCTAGAAGAACAATTGCAGGTTACGTAGTTTCCTCAGATAGACACTGTTGACTGGAACAGACTACTCTTCATCTTCCTGGTAGGCTGAATTTAAAGCTTAATTTCTGTTTGTGGAGGTTCTAACCAGAGACATTTCTACATCATGATAAACAAATTTGTCACTGTGACTGTAAATAGGGTATCTCCCAATTCAAATGTTTTGTGTCCTGTGGAGTTTTAGTTCCTGCTCCGGTTACGTTACTGTTTAAAATGATTGATACATGATTTTGTGGGCTTCCTCGATCTGCACAATTTTTGAGGTGGTTGTTTCCTGTTTTTTTGCTGTCTGTTTAACAGCATACGTTAGCGCTAGGTAAAAAGTACATAGTACTGGTTCATCCTTGTTTTCAGTTTCTGAATTTCCTAACCTAACAGTTAGCCAACTTATTTTTACTGCTAAGTGGAGCAGAGTTGCTTTTTATCTGCAGTCCTTCAAAGATGAATACTCAAACAGTGATTTTCTGTTTGCTTATCAGTAGATCCCAATATTTGCCTATCCTGATGTAGACACAGCTAAATCTGTCACATGCTTCTGTAGTGTGCCAATGTTGTCCAATGAGATACAGCTTTCAGATGCATTGTTGTGGAGAGATGGGTAAAAATAAGTTTTGTGGAAATGAGTTACTTTTAAATAAGCTTTATATTCCTCATTATGTTTATATCATTCTTCTAGAACTATGCCAAGAAAACGAAAGCTGTTAGCTCAGTTAAGTGCTCTCCAAAGTGACAGCAGCTTCCCATCCTTTGATGCCTTGGGAAACCTAAACACTAAACCTGGTGGTGATTCTTCTCCAAAAAGCAGCAAGTATTTTGCAGCAGAGAAAAAAAATTCTTTCCATCTAGAAGCAGATTTTTTCAACCAGCCCTGTATTAGCCTGGCCAAGTCCTTTCTGGGGCAGGTAAGACACAAACACTGAGATTACTGTACTGGAGCATGTGCTAGCTAATAACGTAGTGTAACAGGATAAAATTCTTTTTTTGTTATTTGACTCCAGGACTTTGCTATTTTAGGAATACAGCTCTCATTCCTTCTCTTGTTAAGTGCAGTGGAATTTAAAGACTAGTAGCCCAGTCTATTTTGGATGAAGTCAGAGGAGTAATTTTACAGGTTTCGTTTACTGTCACATTTCAAAATTAGTTTCTGTGGAATTTTTCTCCCTTCTTTTCTGGTTTATTGAAATGTACTTTGCTGTTCTTGTGGTTTGAAGGTTGTTTCGACCCCATTATTTTCCTTTCAAGTATTCCTTTATTTGGTTTTGGCTCTTGCTTAGCTCAGTGGAAAGTAATGCTTTGCAACATCTCTTTCTCTGCCTCCTTTTTACTATCTTGTGATGCTAATAGCATGGCAGGCCCTCGGCCTTTCTTGACCAGTATCCACCATCGTTGTGTACTTGAGTATTTCATTCTTATCTGCAAGTTCAGCAGACTGCTTGGTACGTTTTTTCCTGTGGCCCTCTATGCTTTGAAAGTTGTATCTCATACTACCTGCTTTTATTTTTGCTGTTCTGAGTAGCTCGGTATTGTCAGTTCGCGTGGTGAGCTCTCTCATGATCACCTCTCTGAAGGTATTAACACAGCCATGTGAGGCAGCACAGGCCTGAGTGTGGAGACGTTTAGGACTCTCTAGTCCCACAGTTAAACAATCTTCACTCCAAAAACTTTGTTCCTATCTTTTGTTTCTGGGTTTTAAAGCCATTACTGGTTCATGAAAGGACCTTCCCCCTTATCCCATTATAGAAGCTTTGAGGACTCCTTGGAATTGTTGAAAGCCTATGGAAATGAGAGCAGGGGAGATGAAACATCTCTCTTCTGCATAGTGAGTCCTTAAGACTCTACCACTGTTTCCATGGGAGGGAATTCCTCCAGTGTTTTCCCTATGAAATGTTCGAGTCTGGGACTTCCTAAATACAATTGCAAAATGTGTTTTTAGTTTCACTGCTCTGGTCTTATGTTAAGTCTTTTTTTTATACCTTTATTGTCTGTAGGGCGAACAGACTCTCTGGATTCTCATTGGTTTAGATAACTCCAGGAATTTGTTCCACAAACTGTTGGGTTTGGCCTGTCTGGCTGTGTGTAGTGCTTTATTTTATTTTCTAAGGATACTGTCTTGCTTGTAATTGATGCCTTTGCTCCGTTTTTTAACCCTGCTGGGGTTTTTTTTGGTCTGCCTTAACCTCTCTCTGCTACGTCATGTGTATTTGCTATCTTTATAGACATCCTGCTAGAGTTTTGCCTTTCCAGCTTTGACCTTTGGCTGCCTCTTCCAAGTTCTTCCTAATAAGCTTCCTCACTTTACGTAATTTCCCCTTTTTGCTGGTAAGCAGAACTCTGACAGATTATTTTTGGACCGTGATGCTTGTGGAAGGACACTGAACTTCATACTTCATTGTCATGATACAAGGTTGTTTTTCAGGGATAAGTCTTTGGAAAACATTTTGCATTTTGCTCCAGATAAGTTTGAGAGTTTAGTCTTCTCTTGTGAGATCCCCGGTTACTCACTCTGCAAAGCATCTGATGCTGTCTAAAAAACCCATCATTTGTGTCCTGTCCTTAGTGTGGTATTTACTTGGTCTGTATAAGGATACCTGAAGTCTCCCAGTACTTGCATTTTTTGTTGTCTTAATGACTGACATCCTTATGCATGCAGTTACCCTGGGCAGATATTTTAGTCGTAATTCTGTATTTTTCCTATTTAGGCCTAGAATTACAGGCCAGGTGATTTCTATCTTAATTTTAGATTTTCTTTAAAGCATAACCCCTGGTCTTCCATGACCCAGTCTATTCTCCCATTTTCTTAAAACAATAATAGTATTTTAGTGTTTAAATTGTAATCTTAATTCTACCAAATTTTGGAGGTGCCTGGTAGAGTAATACTGCTTAACCTTAAATGTGATACTTCAGTTCTTGGAAACAAAAAGACAACCAAACCCCAAACATACATGCAGTAAATGGCCTTTCAAAACAAACTGTCACAACAGCAAGATAAATCCTCAGTGTGAAATAAAAACCTCTATAAAATAGTTTACTGTGAAGTATTGTGAATTATCACCATTTTTAACTGTGAATATCTGCTGTGTCTGAAGACTCAGGGAAATGCCCGAATGCTTTTAAAATCATAACCCAACCATTGTATTTCATCATAGTGAAAAAGAAATGTGGCCACATGAGTGTGCTTTTGGGGTGTTTTCAGGCAGTTGCAAAATACCAGTGCATTTTTCATAAAAATTATAAACTGATTATTTTTAACAATTTGAGAAGTGCTGTAGGAAATGGTGATATACCAGAGTTGCAACATTTGAGACTGACTTCTAGAGCATCCCTATTGGATCAGGTCTGTAACTGCATTAGCAATCCAGCACAAACATCTGTTAGGAATTGAGCTTTGTTTCTTGAAAGTCGTTTTTTTCAATGGCTGGTTTTCCAGTATGGATGTGCTGAATATATTAGAATGAAACTGATAGCTGTTGCCTAAATTAGACTATACTGCAGAATTTCTGAAACACAAGTAAAATAAGAAGTTTAGAAATCAGGTCAAACCACAAAAACCTTTGTATGAAGTTTACTGATTGTTTTCTTTTTACAGAGAATCTTTTCAATGTCGTGGTTTTTCTCTCTGCATCTGCTTTGTTTTATTTAAGGAGGTACCAGCAGCAAGGAACACACTGTAATAACAAGGATCTGTTGTTGTCCGCCTGAAGCCAATTCCCAGCTCTCCCGCACTGTCCCTCTCTGTGGTGCAGAAATACAGAAATAGCATCAATACTCACTCTGGTCGTGATTATCTCTGTGGTTAGGGACTAGGACTTGTTTGAACCATCTCTGTGGAGAGAGACTACCTAATCATAGCAGTTATTTAATTGTGCTGCTACTCATGTTTCTCCTGATCTAAAGAATATATTCATGATGCTTCAAGATTGATACTGGTGGTGCTTTTTTGCCTTAAACCTGGTGGATTGCAGTGGAGAATACAGAAAATAACCAAAATAACCACAAAAGCAACTCTGTGGGCTGTACTGTATATAGGATCATAAACTGATTCTTTATGATACTGCCACAGCTAGATACTCCAGGCATTTCACAGAGTTAATAACAGGTAGTTGTACAGGTAGTACAACTTCTTGTACTGGGCTGTGGCCTGGCCAGTAGAAGCTGTTAGCTTACAGACTGAGCTGCTTGCTGGAGAAGAGAGGATGCAGTACTGCCAGGTCCTTTTTTCCAATTTCTTTGTTTCCCCAGCTCTTGTGCTCTGGTTATTTTGCACAGAGGGTTGCTAACTGATGCACTCTGACCTCTCTTTCAGATTTTAGTTCGCAAACTTCCTGATGGCAGAGAACTCTGGGGAAGGATTGTTGAAACAGAAGCTTATCTGGGTGGGGAAGATGAAGCTTCCCACTCCAAAGGTGGGAAGCAGACTCAACGAAATGCAGCAATGTTCATGAAACCAGGAACTCTGTACGTGTATCAGATCTACGGGATTCACTTCTGCATGAATGTTTCCAGCCAAGGTAAGTTGAGGCTTAAAGAGATTTAATGCCTACAGCATAAGGCTGATATTTCAAGCTACACCTGCCATGTTGCTGTCACTTTCGAGCTCCCTATGGGCTCTGTGAAGTCAGGGACTTGCTGTCGTCTTCTTCCCTTAGGACCTGGGTTTTGCTGTTGGGAACAGTATGTAACTGTGGACAGACAGTGTACTAACTTTCAACATCACAAGCAGGGCCCATATCCAGCTGTATAGCAACCAGCGTGGTGGGGTTTTGGTCCCAGCTATGAGCTGTGTGAGCTGTTCAGGCCCAGAAAGACAGACTAAGGACTGGAAGAGAATCTTGATAGGATGGAACTTTCAGTTTTGATGACCTGGGTTACCGCCTTATTCAGGTGATTCAGTGAACTCTGTTCCTTGAAAGTGGTGATGCAGAAAAGTCTTAATGACAACCTAAATCTTGGTGTCTGTTGTCCTGATAAGAAACTCTTCTGTCTCCTACATTTATCTTCAGAAGCTGTAAACATTGGGGAAAACAAAAAGGTCTGAGATGTCCTAAGCTTAAGCAAGGAGTTTTAGCTGCTTTGTTGTTTCTTAAAATAAAAAATCAAAATACCCAGACTGTGACAGGATCTTCCATCTTTTATTATTCTCAAGATAATCAACCCCTAATCAAATTATTCTAGAGTTTACTGAGACTCTCTCTATCCACAGCCTCTCTTAACATGCAAGTGTTACTTATAAAACCTGGAGTTTCTTCTTTCCTGTAGGAATGACAGTGTTTGCCTTGCAATAAAGTTACTCATTAATGAGACGCCGTGAAATGGCATCAGGCATTTCTTAGATAAATGCTCATTTTGTTAGAAAAAAAAATTCCAACAATAATTCCTTTTCTTTTTTGCCATTTCAAAGATACAGCTTAAGAAAACGCACCGCTTAGATGTTCCAAAGTGGAAAGCAAATGTTGTAACAGTGACCATTAATCCTCAGGTTTTGGCCTTTGGGCAGGAGCCAAGCAGAAACACAGGGCCAGGTTACAGTGTGGGGGAAGAGCCTGTCTTCCTAAATGGAGGTCTGGAGTCTGGTGGATGAACACATGTGGATTTCATTACATTGTCTCTGCCAAATCTGTTCAGATAATGAAAGCAGAATGGTTCGTTATTCAGGATGGGTCTCTTAGTACTTGAAATACTAGGAATAATAATTTTTATTAAAAAGAAAAAAAAAAGATGCTTAACTCTTGAATTCTAAAAAGGTTTCTTTGACATCTATACTCCGGGAAATTTTCCCTTACATACCTGTGTTTATTTTGGAGCAAATCAGAGCTCACTGTTGTGATGGATTTAGTTGGGACTTTTCTGTTATAAACTTATTCTCCATTAGCCTGCCATACACGCAGCTATGTTGACACCAAGCACAGCTGTCACTACCACCTTTGTCGGGAACACACTGAGGTAAACAGCATAGCTGTGCGTGGTGTCTGTCACAGATGCATCTACATAAGCAGGATGTACTCCTTCAGTGTATTTGCCCATTTGCAGATGTGCTGAAAGAATGAATCTGAGGAGGAATTGTACACAAGATGCTTTTTTCACCTTAGTATAGGTGGAGAGGAAGCCTGTCCTGTCATTTAGTCTGAGGAAGCTGTCTTTTGTGGTGGCACTTACGCACCTGGGTAGAAGGCAAAAGCATTTCATTCTTTGGGTATGGCACAGATCTTGGAAACTTTGTTTTGAACCTGGCTGTGGCTATGCAGAAAACACATGGAAACACTGGCAAAACCAAAAAAGCCTATTGTGGCAAGGCTTGGTCCTTTTTAGTAGCACAGACCATGCTCTGCTTATAGCACGAATTCCCTGGGAATGCTGTGAAAACCTGAGTGACTGACCAGGAGGAATATGAACATCTTATTTCTGAAGGCGTCACTTGGAAAGACACAAATTACTGAGAGAGCACTAAATGCTTTTACTTTCCAAAGGGTGCATCTCCGGTGAAGTCCCAGAGCTGCAACACTATTTTCTTGGATTTTGGCTGTGCAAAGTTGCAGAGCGCCAGGAGTTAAACAGCAGAGAACATGGAATGGTTGCATCTGTTCCCATGTATTACCTTCTGTCTCCTGTGATCTCCCAGGATGTTTCATATTTTCCCCTCAACTGTCTTCCAAGCTGAAGGTTTCCAGTCTACTTAGTTACTCTGTCCTTAGGGTTTTGCTCCAAAGCCAGTCCGTAACTTTGATCCTGGTTTCCTGTCCCTGAATCTCTTCCAGTTCTGTTATAGCTTTCTGTAGATGGAGGGGCGGAGCAGAACAAGTCTAGAAATGCATACACGACAGCAGAGCAACTTGCTTTGTACAGGTAGTTGGGATTTACATCTGGGAATACTGTATGGCATTTCCACAGCAAAGTGGAGTAGTGAAGAAGGGGAAAGGAAGGGTCTTGGCGGTTCCCTGATGTCTTCATACACACAAATTGACTTTGTCTTAAGCCATTTCAGTTTTGACCTGGATGCATATTAGCAAAGTTCATACTGAATGATATGACAATTAGGGAAAACCTGAGGTTGATTTCAGGAGAAATCAGTTATAGATATTTTCCAAATGACTCTTGAAAGTTGTTTCTGTTTGGCCATCGGCTGGTTTGCATCAAAATACTCATGGAATCATACACTGATTTTTAATGAAGCATGGATTTCTGGAGACTGCTGGAGCAAGTACATAGATGGGACTGAAATCTAGTGTGGGTTTAGGTGGTCTATAAGTTAGCTCTAACTAATAATCACAAACAAATTCTCAGCTGGCTTAGATCAATCTATCTAGTTGTAGTGTAGGCAAGTGCTTGTGCTGCTTAAATTACAGGATCCTTGTGGGAGGAAGGCAAGTAGTTCAGAGAACAAGTACAACCTCACCAGTACTGGCAGTGACTGCTGTGCTGCTGCTTCTCAGACTCGAACTGAGCGACAGTGGATCCAATTTGGAGCTGCCAGCTTAATGAAGGCAGCTGTCCTTTGGCTGGAGAGAGATCAGAGTGCTGCACTGTCCCTGGTGTCTGTGCCTACCTTCTTGGAACCGAAGCTGCACAGGGCAGTCCCAGACACACACGCTGCTGGGACCAGGCAAGCAGCATGAATTGGACTGCTGCAGCAGACTTGTTTTAAAAACAGTTTAACACTGACTTTAGTCATTATGGTCTTTAATCAGCTCAGGATCTGAGGCCTACATGACAGTCTCTTTGACTTTGCTGTGATTTATTTCGCTGGTATTTGCCAAGGTGTGCATTTTGCTGCCAGATCTGAACAAACAGCTTGTTAAAATCAGGATCCCAGTGATGGTTTACCCTGGCCCAGGGTCACACTGTGTGGTCTTCCCCCTGTCTTGCAGATCCTAGACTAGGACTTTGAAGGAAGCGTTTTGGGAGCAGTGAGAGTCAGATGGGTGGAGAGAAAACTTTCTTCCCTCAAGTGGCCATGAGTTGTTTCCAAGAATGGGAGCTGGAGCCAGTCCAGGGAAGCAGCAGCAAGCTGCGCTGTGGGGGTGTGGGACTTCCCTATCAGTTTATGATTTCTAGCTGCTCAGGGAGACAATTTGCCTCGGCATTGTTGTTGGATCCCAACTTTTAGCTCTGAATGCTACTCATTATATGGAGTGACTTTTCAGCATGGGTGGTAGATATTCTGCATCTCTGGACTGGCACTGATGCTGATGGTACATCAGCAGCCGTATCTGTGTCAGGCAGATGCTGAAGCCAGATAACCCCTGAGAGCAAACTGCTGCAGGCTGTGGGGAGGGAGGGAGGCAGGGTGAAGCACTCTGGCAGGCCGGAGTTGAGTCGGAAGGAAGCTGCTCTTTGGTAGTTAAAGTAAAACTTCTGACATGCAGATATGTTCAGAAGGACCCGACATCAGCCTGGGGGTGTGGGGACAGATGAGGGCAGAGAAGGCAGCAGCGCAACATGGCATCCCTGCACCCTTACCTTGCCTGCTGTCTCCACATCTACCCAAAGCTCTTGTGGTGGTGGTGTCACACTCAGGGGCTGCTGGCCCTGGGCGGAGCCTGGTGCCTGTGCTGCAAACAGCTACAGGGTGTGAAAACTTTCTGGTGGAAATGCAGAAAGAGCAGGCAGAGACAGAGAAGCTGCATATCTCCTGCTGGGGCTCTGGGAGCACCTACAGTTTCTCTGGGTGCTTGTCTCTCTTCATGTGAATTCCCAAGGCCTCAGTTCAATTCAAGTGTAACCACGGTTTCCACTTGCATCTGTGAAGGATGAAAGCAAGTACAGTAATTAAAGGATTGCTCAGAATCCCACAGTTGTTTCTGGCGAGTGAGGCAGCATCCTGATGTGAAGGATGTTTCTTTATGCATGGATGAAAAGCAGAATTAGGACATGGAGCATGTTCTTAAAAATCTAAAGTGACCTTTGAGCTCTAAATCACTGTAGAACAGGGAAGAAGCTTTTGGCTGCCAGATTAGCATCAATCCCCTTCCTCAGAGAAGGGAGTGCCTGGGAACAGATTGCTGACAGCTGTTGGAAGGAAGTCTGTTGACTTCACTGAGCTGTACTGAGGGCAGCGGGGGCTCAGAGCAGGTTCGGGGCAACAGACACACCTCACAAAGCCAGGAATCAGGTTCTCAGTTGATAGGCTCAGCTGGGAGCTCAAAAGGGTAATTTAGCGTGGGAGTTGTACAAAACATGAGGGATTCTGTTTTTGGAAATCACAGTCTTTAGGGATCTGTCATTGCCTACAAAAAAAGCTCTTGCCAGGCCTGAGCACGTCTCCAGATGTTTGAGGCTGGAGAGGGGATTGTTCAGAGCAGCATC